CATACATCAACAAAGCTGATTATCTGTCGTCTGCATTACTCTTAGTCGTACACAAAAGAGAGTATTCAGTCCTCCTAATGATTTACTTCTGTAAAAGCTCTTATGTTACAGCTGCTGTATCAAGTTAAAGCACAAAATTATGCTTTAAGCCTTAATCACAGTCAGATTGAAACATTCTGTTATCCATTAGGTGTGTTGCTGCGTTTCATTTTTCTCGGCAACTTACTAAAAACAATAAGGCAATAAGTAAAAGAGTTTTCTCTCTTCTTATGTCTGCTGAAAGTGCCTCCGGAGGGCTTCATGCTAAATTTTTTTACAGAACTCTTTCGATCTTTTGATTCGGTTTAATTTCCATTTAATCTAGCTATGATCTGCATTTTAAACCCTGCAGCCAAATGATTACAAACCAACTGATCTGTAACTTGGAAGGGCATAATTAAAGAATTTAAGATCTGCAGACTAATTAATTTGTTTTTTACAGCTGAGTCCAGTGGTCGGGTAGAAGATACTAGGTTGCACTGAAAATGAATGATTTTCAGGCTTAATGAAATATTAACCGAATTGACAGGACTTTACAGATGCTTTAACTGAACAGATTGGGTAAAAGTAATATTTATCAACTTATTTGTTCAAACTGGAAGTAATATTAATGTTTTACAGTGGCAAAAGCTGATTTTTGACTAGAACTCAAATCAGAATTTGAAATGGGAGCTAATGATTAGGGTGATGGCAGGGAGGTCTTTGTATGTCATAGATTTAGATAAATGGGCAAAATAAAGGCTCTGATTATTAAGGATCACCATAGTTGTTTTATTTGTAAAACCAAAAAAAAAAAAGCATCAGTTTCTTCTTTGATGTCTTATCAATTGATATCCAAGTTGAATAAACTGCTATTTGAGGTTAGGGCATTAAGAAAACCGAAAGGTTCATTGGTTATTCATGTATATATGTAAGGCACCATGTACAGTTCAAGAGTTTCAAGATTATTTAAGTTATACTTTCCCAGTAAAACCAGTCAAAGCACTGTAACAGAACGTCAGGACCGCTTGCCTTATCATGCCATCTAATGTGAGGAAGGCCACATCTCTTTCTGTACAGCAGGGGAAGTTTTATGCTCAGAGGCTCCTCATAGCATTTGTCCCCCTCTTGTATAATGCATTGTTTGACTATTGCTCATTTTGTCATTGATGAAACCTAATCTACAAGCTGCCTCATTTTGGCCTCATTAGACCTTTTCATTCTGATGCAACGCTGTAATTATTTCTGTTGTCGCATGAGTGCTAACGAGCTTAATGATGATTATATCCTATTAGCAGTAAGAGGCAATTATCATTAGCTTTCCTCAGAATCACCCAATCATGTCTTTTGTATGAACCTCAGTTAATCGCATCTTCAAGTTTGTTTTTGGTTTGTTTTTGTTTTTTTACACCAAAGTATGAAAACTATTCAGTCTTTTAAAATTTTTTTCTCCTTGGTCTTGGACAGCTTCCCACCTAAACGGTAGAGACACGCTGTTCTGTTAAGAGAAAGTCTCTAGGACAACATGCGGAGCGGAGAGGTTCCTGTGCAATCCCTGTGCTTATCTCACACAGCGTTCCAACTCAAATGCTTTGCTGAACTGCTGTGTGTTGCTTCTCACAGCTGAGAATGCAAACTGCTCTCAAAAGGAGGATGAAACTCTAATTGAGTGAGACAAGTGTTTACAATCTTGAATCTCAACCGCAGCGTCCCCCTCTTCCTCCTCCTCCCCAAACTCCAGTAATTGTACTCTTAGATATACCATTTGGACTGTAGAGAGTATGGAGGGATTACAAAGAGATGAGAACTTGGCAGGAACCGCTTTTCTTGCCTAATTCAGCAGTGTGACAGAACGGAGATAACGCTGCATCTCTGTGGATCCTTGCCATGGCCAAACGTCTCAGCAGCTGGTTTCTCACCCTTCCAGTGACCTGCCATACTGAGAACCCTTTGCTTTTGCCCAGTGCTATTTAATAGATGCAGCTATATTTTTTTAAAAGTAGAAATCTCCTTTTTTAAAGTTATTTATTTTTTTTTTATGATGATGATTCTCTATTTACAAATTATACATCTTTTCTGAGTGGAAAAACAGTAAAAGCATGGGGGGATATCCAGACTGTCAGCTTGCAGCTGTTTCTACTAATGCAAAGCAAAGCGGCTGTTGGCAGACATAAGAGGGACTGATACTCTGCTATAACTCTTGGCAGGAAAGCAAATGCGAGCATTTCTCAACATGTGAAATTATTTCTTAAATGTTAGATTACTGTTTACACCAACCCACCAGGGTAGTGGTCCAAATAGTTCTGCTTTATAGGTCACCAAGTTCTGCAGTTCATTTAAGCCAGATGTAATCATGCTGGGCTCCATCCAGAGCCTAACCCAGTTCCCTCCAAACCAGTCTGTTCTCTAAAGTGTCCTTGTGGTGGGATCTGATGAGTCAGACAGGGCTTCTTATGCTAATAGCTTCCATCAGGATGACTGGGACTGGCACCTTTTGGTGATGAGGCAGCAGAAACTGAGGCGACTTGCAAAATGTCACCCCGGTGGATTCAGACCGAACCTTTGAGGGCCGTCACCACCTCAGGACTTCAAAGCAGCAGTTGGATAAGGGGTCTGCGGGATTGTGTGGAACTCAGAGATTAGGGCAACAAACATCTGCAATTGAGGTTTACTGTTTTCTCTGTGGGCTTGGGTATGAATTTCTACAGTCTGCTAAGTATGTCCTGGGTTAGTCCCACAAAGATCCCACATAACAAAATATACATGAAAACTGAGGAATTCAGAATTTCAGTAACTGACTTTTTTAATTTGAGGGTATGAAATTAAAAGAACAGAATATAAATGAGATCATGTCTTTAGCTCATCCACGAATGCCTCACTTCAAACAGAAATGATCCTATTGTTGCTGCAAGGCTCGAGGCCACAGCAGAGACTTGCTCAGTCCTCTAGCTAATTAAAGAGATCGTTTAACAATCCAGAGCTGACTGGATGTTTCACCCTATCTGTCTTTCTGTGTGTATGCACTGACAGCATGATTGCATGGTAATCTGAATGTCTGTTGTCATATAAAAGTTATGCCTTGTAAATTAACAGCAATAATTTGTTGATCTCAGTGCTGCTCGGCAAGAGCTGCATTTAAGAAAAGCTGTTTATTTCTAAAAGAAACGCTGCTACACACCACTGTTCTGTAATTAATGCCGCATAGGCAAACAGTCCAATGCTGCTTTCTGGAGATAAAGATTTTCCTGCAGTCCCATTTAGGATCTTCTGCCAAGTCATTTAATTTCTTTTTCAATAAATATATTTAAGTGTTTCCATTTTTTATTTAAATGACTCAGAGTGTTTAAAAACATAAAACAAATTGTTTAATTGGAGAAAAGGCTAATTTGCAACCCTGGTTTTAAAGTTATAGCCAAGTTTGGTTTTAAGTGTTTTGCTTCTCCCTTCTGGAAGGTCCATCAGGGCCAAAACCTCTCGCCACAAAAACAACTTCTTCTGCCTGAAGCTAACCTCATTAACAAAGCCCAGGTCCCCCACTGACACATTTCTGTTACTAATAATTAGATTTTCTCAGCACATGTAAATACTATTTTATTCAATATTTATTTTTATATATATTTATTTTTTATTTCCTATGTTTGTCTGCGTGTAACACCTTAGCAACAAAGCAAATGTATTTGATGTTTTAAAAACTAATTACCCCAAAGTTTTTTTTTTTCTGATTCTGGTGTAGACAATGTTCATTAATAAGGGAAATGTGGCTAAATGTGTATGTCATACATAAATTTGCACACACAAAAAAAAAAAAACATTTTTCTGTGCTGCTTGTTTTTATGCATATAGAGAATTTTGAAAGTCAAACACTGAAAGTTAAGCTCTACCCAGCCTAGCTTACAGTGTTGATTGAACATGATGCTGTTTTAGGGTTAAAAGTACATATTACGACATGTGTTTCAGTCTTTCTGAATGGTAGCAGACTGCTGTCATCAGAACCACCTACAGATCATCTGGACTTAGTTTTGATATATTAAATAAGGGTTGTTGTTATTGTCTCACATGCATTATAGAAGTGCTTTAATGACCTCAGCCCTGAAGAAGACAAAGAATATCAGAAACTTCAGATCAAATGAGGGTCAGAACTGGCTGGGGTGCAAACCAAAACTGATGTCTGCCATTAAGAACCGACTCCATTCTCAGAAATGTCAGGGCAGTTAATGGAAATGCTATTCTATAAACCATTACACCATTGTCAAATCTGGACTAGTTGTTGGCATACAAGTAAATAGTTATTTTATTTGCAATGCGGTTGCTTTAAAATACTTTCCAATGTTAAACGCGTATGACCAAATAGAGTGAGCTATCCGTTATCGTTCTGGTAAAAACCTAATGGTGTGTTTAAGGAAATCAATGTTGCAATTTTCCAATCCAAGTTTTTTTTCAAAGCCATAACCGAAGCTGATTTGAAATTTTGTCGTTACGGAGTGTATTTTGCAGAAATCGCAGTATTTCTTTCCACTTCACGCTGAATTTAGATGACATTACATTTACAAGAAAGCATATTGAAAAATAAAACCAATAAATCTTCAAGTTTCCCAAATTTTCTCTCACTGCACCTCGGGTAACATATACAGTAAAATACTGTGGGCTATAGGAAAAAAGCAAAGCGTACAACTAAAATAGAAGTCATACTGTCTCAGCCTCTCCTACAAACCGATTCTTCTTTTTTCTTTCCTGCATGGTTAGTGCCTTACTGAATGAGAGATTTAATTGTCCCTCATGTAGATGATCTGAAATCATCTGCATTTTCACGCTCAGATGGACCAGCTCTAAATAAATGTCTAAAAACACAGAATTTATGCTACAAAACTAACATTCATCATTTATTGTTTGCATAAACTGTTATCTGATGCCCCAAAGACAAAGCCGGTAGGGTGAACTTAAGTTAATCTTTCTGCCTTTCCTTTCCTTTCTGGATGCCCCAGGTGCTGCGTGGAGCTCAGTTGATAGCTGTCGCTTCAGCCGATGGAGGAGCCACAGCAGTGGAGGGATCCGCTCTCCCACCTGACATTCAAGTGCAGTATGTGCAGCTGGCTCCTGTTTCTGATCACACAGCAACTGTGCAGGTAAACCAACACGATAAACAACCTGTTTTAGGCTCTTACATGAATGTTCACACCAGCTTTTTTTCCCAAATCTAAACATTTAGCAGATTGCTGGTATTGTAAGTCATTGCTACTTGTGTTTGTTTGTCCGACAGCACATTAGAAATGTTGTGTTTCCTACACGTTTTCTATGAATTAAAAAAATCCGACAATCCTGATGGCATTCAAGTTCAGGTGTGACCACTGAGAAATTAGAAAGAGATGATCAACTATTATTAGATATCAATATTCCTTTAGATCAGTGTTAATAGAAAGCTGTGGTTAAGATGACAATCTTTGCACCTATGAAGGCTAACAGTTGACCAATGCCTTTTATTGTTATACCTAGAACCCAAAAAGCTTCCTCATAAACAAGTAAAAGTAATGGAGGCTGCTTCTGTAATTTTATAACTTATAATCCTGTCCTGCAACCCAATGAAGAGCCTTTACTAGTCAGTTTAGTCAAGTCTTACTTTATAAATAGATACAGTATCCAGTGCATAAAGCACTTTTAGTCTTATGTGAGGTTCATTACAAGCAAAAACTCACCCCACCAAACAAAGTCACCAACTACCAAGAAAAAAGGTAATCATAAGCTCTTGTGTCTTATACATGACAAAAAGGCAGAGATCTTAAAGTGTATATATATATATATATATATATATACATACACATATATAGGTAGGATCATAATCCTGGTGAACTGACTGCATGGATCACATTTTGAGACGTACTTTCCCCCTTGAAAACATCTAATAACATTTTTTTTCCCCCCACTCAGCATAGTAAAGAAAGCCAAGCCACTATCTCAATTGCATCTGCCGCTGGACACAGAGACAGTCTGTAGACTCTTTGCTCGATGGTCGAGAGCGCCAAAATCGACTTATGTGTGATGTGCTGTGCTTGTGGCTTGGCTGGAGAGAACACACTGTGCGACCAAAACTGCTCTATCCCTGACATTTTCTATCCTCATGTGTGGGGTCTCTTAAGTGTTGAAAATCACCCGACAATTTTAAAATCTTGCTGTGTGAGCAAGCCTTTAGAGCAGGGGTAACCAATTAAAAATCAGCGGGGTCCGAATAAAGAAAATCATCAACCAGTAAAGGTCCAAAGACATTTCTAATAATCTGTTACTTTATACATTGAATTTTTAAATAAAAAAAATAGAAAATGTTTCAATTTTAAAATCTAAAGTGTTTTTTTTTTTAAGTAAAGATCAACAATCTTTCAGTTCTATGTATAGACAATTTGCTAGCTCACTTATTTTATAAAACACCTGAACTGACCCTTTGTTATTTTTCTTTCTTTTTTCTGGCTTAATGAGAGCAGTGGGCTTTATGCTGCCCTGCAAGGCTTTAAACCTGGGTTTGAATGGAGGCAAAGCCATTCTCAAGCACATATCAAGGTGCTCATTTGGAGCCTGGATCGATATTTCTTTTTGATTCTGTTCATGGTGGAGAATCCTGCTTCACAGCAGCAGGTTGAGCCAAACATACTCTAAATCTTGCGGCCAGGTCAAGATCCGCTATTGCAATCGCACCAAACAGTAAAAAGAACTTCGAGAAGATCCGGTTTGTCAAATTAAAATATAGTAACAACAGGTCGGTAACTACAAGTTAGAGCATAATTCTTCAAACACCTTTTATTTAAATGCTTGGATGCAAACTATTGGTACTTCAACATACTAGGAAGCAGATTTCTCATCTCCATCAGAAACCGCACATATGCTGGATGCTGACAGGGATTTTTTTTTAATATGTCATATTAAATTAAGTGTTCATTTCTGCGTGTTTTGCTCCTACGAATTTAATGATAATATTGGACATGCTCTCTTAAAGCTCTGAGGATAAGTCGGAGCGCAGCAATACGGGAGGAACAGCGGAGGCTGTAGGCTTTGCTGTGCGCAAGAGGTCTGGAGCGCTGCGAGGCGGCGACGGAGGATGTGGGATTTCTGGGTAACAGGATAAGCGGCGCAAGTGAAGTTAGATACTGTTGTCAGACAGCTTGCGGTAATTTATAAATGTTTTAAATCAGGTTGGGTCCGGATTAGCCAGCAGGTGAGTCCAGATCCGGACCGCGGTAATCGCGCGCTAATCGGTGACCTCTGCTTTAGAGTAAAGATCAGCAAGTTGCTGGTTTATTAGCTAAACTGCAGAACGCGGTGGAAAAAGCATCATTGTTTGGGTTTCTTTCTTTAGCCATATCTGGAAACCTTGTAACTTAGGAAGCAGTACATTACAAAGACTTTTTCACCAGATGATCAGATCAATAATTAACAAAATGGTTGACAAGAACTTACTGAGAAAAAAATGTTAATTAAAGCCTTGATCTTGTGTCATTAGCATCTTGTTGTTTTTTGACCTGACATTGAAACCACACATACTCAATGTATATTTGAAATGTATCAGAAGAAAATTTGTTTCTACTGTTAACCTATTATTATTCAAATCACACATTAACAATTTAAAGAGATTTTTGCATGTAGAAAACCAGTAATTAAACTCAAAAAGTACTCGGTCTTATGGATTGATACAAGGAAAATAGTAGTAATTAGTGAAATGCTCCAAATCGTGTATGATTGAACTGATTGTGCAACAGCCACATTTTGGATCAGCATGGTGTGCACGCACATGGAGGCTAGCCTTTTAAGTGGCCATTTAAACTCTGAGAGTTTTAAAGCACAACCACATCCCCATTGTTCTTTGTTCTTTCTTTTTTCTCCTAAATATGACAAGGATTGTGTTTCATTTTTTTGTCTGGCTGTTACCTCTTCTGCTTTTAAAAGGGAGCCCAGATGGATACTGTCAAGTTCTTTACTGACTGAAGTGTTTTTTGTTTTGTTATCACAAAAGCAAAGAAATAACTAGATGATTTATGACTGTTTGAAAAGGGTTTTTTGGTCAGGATAAGGATCTCCTAGCAGACCCTTCATTTCATCTAACAGACTCCGATATACAGAAATGTGTTAACCGGCCATGTGGCAAAATAGGAATTTCCCTGTAAAGACTTTGGCCCTTTTTGTTGTTCTCATGGTGTCTATAGTGGGCTAGGTAATTGGTTCCTTAAATGTGTGAGTGGGAGACAGCTGTACTGATTTAGTTTTTAGGGTGTAGATCAGTAAAAAAGATGGACTTCAAACATCTTCATAACAAATACACCACTTAGCAAAGCTATTTGAACTCAAACTTTTTCTCATTTAGTCATGTTAAAACCAAAGACCAGTTTAACCTATTGTTTTCAGGATGTGTGTAAAATGAAAAAAATAAAAATAAAAATTATAACTAAAATCCTTTTCATTCTGACAGCCTTGCTTAGATATCACTAAGTATATTTGGGAGGAAATTATCTCCTTCATTGGTCCCCAAATCCAACAATAAAGTCCACTAGTGGTGTTTAAACCGCATTGCCAATTCAGCTGTTCTATGAAGGTCTCAGAGGTTTGTCAGAGAATACTAGTGAAAAAAACGGCATCATAAAGACTTCGGAGCATAGTAGACAGTTCAGGGGAAAGTTAAGGAGACAAATTAAGCAAAGGTAGGTTGAAAAAAATCTCCATTGCTTTATATGTCTGAAAAGATCTACTCAGTGCATCTTCAAAAATTTTATGATACAAACTTACCAGTGTTTGGCATTCCAACTAAACTAACAGGCTGAGAAAATTCATCAGAGAAGTTGCAAGCTAAATTACAGGTTATTGTCACGAGATTTGTGTATTCACAAACTCCCGAAAACACATCCTGCCAGAAGCCAACAGATGCATGAGCCTTGAAAAAGAAATGTTTCAGACCAATGAAATGACATCAACGCATCAACCAAAGGCAGAAGGCTGAAGCAAAACAAACATGGCTACACTGGCTTTGGCTGGAATACCTTCTATTTTTTTTTTTTGATAACCAATCAAAAGCACACGAGTTTTGCCTTTGTGGATGGGTTAAAGATTTTTGCCTCCCGACAGAATTTGGTATGAGTTTGATTTATCGGTTAACTCCGCTAGTTGGGAAACAAATCAAGGATTTCACACATCTCAGCTGCTATTGTTGCTGTGATTGGCCAAAAACTCAATATGGAGGCAGGTGCCCATGATGATTTACCCAATAAGCTCTAAGTATTGTAGTGAATGTTTCGTCTTTCGCGAACATTGTATATAGGAGGCTTTCCAGATAGATACTATGTAGTATTTGAAATAGACTCATCAATCTGGCTTTTCCCAGGTTACAGAGCCACAGCTCATGGGAGAATTTTTCGAAACTGACAGTATTGATTGTGCACAATGAAGACCAAGCCTTCATCTAGGAGTAGGGAAAGGAAAACTATTGTTTAAGAAATCCATATTATAAATTCTTAATGAGAGATTGCAACAAGCCCCATAGGCGCTAACAACATGGCAAGGAAGAAAAGAAACTTTGCATACAAGTTAAAAATAAAACTGCACATCTGCCTGAGCACAGCTTCCCCTTAGTACACAATGGTAATGGAAGGTGTGCTGAACTATCTCCTGGACACTCCTAGAAGAAAACCTGTTCTAAAATATCAAAATAAGCTCTAAAATATTTCATATTTACCTTCTAGTAGGAACAAGGAACAGTACAGACGGATCCACTTCAAAGCATGTTCGTGTTTTGGAACACCTCGGTCAAAAGCGAGACCTGAATCCTATTAGAAATCATTTGCATTTCTTGGGAAATAATCTCCACAGATGCAAAGTGACTGACCCTGAGCTATTTTGGAGACACGAATGGGCAAAGATTTCCGTCTGTGGTTGGTAAAGCTAGTAGAGACACACTCCAAATGACATGCAGCTGTAATTGCAGAGTAATAACTACAAAAGGCTGAAAGGAATAGAAAACCATACTTATTGGATTTTAAATCGTAAAAAAAGAAAACATTTCTTTGAATTCACAATTATGGTGTACTTTATTTTGGTCTGTTACTCGATATTTTAATAAAATACACTAAGGTTTGTGGTTATACCATGACAAAATGTGAAAAAGTTTGTAGAGCATGAAGGCCCTGAACAATGAAAACAGACTATGTGCTCTGTTCCAACATCTCCGCCTCATGAAGTTTGGCTCAGTCTCCAATCAAACAGTTTGTTTGTATTAAAAGATCTTTATTTTTCTAATGTTTTATTTGGCGCAGAGCTGTGAAGATGGACTGATCATTCATCAGTGTGTTTAATCAAGCTTTGTACAGTACATCTATCAGGAGGCACATGACTTACTCAGCCCCAAGCTGCATTAAATCAATGTTTATTGAGTATTGAAAAAAATATAATCTTTCTGCAATAGGACCAAAGCTATAACGGCTGTTATCAAAATCTGTCTTTTTGCGTAAGCTCTTAAAAGTTTTGGATGGACTTGATAAACAAACTTGTTCCCATTAAAGGTGGGTCGATCTTCCTGCCTTGTACAGGGTGTGTTCCTATTACATCTAGGGTTTGATATCTTAAAATAGGCTCATTGTTGGTCAAAGTTCAGAAAAAGGTTAGATCTGTTCCTTAGTTACCCCTTTGTTAGCAATGATAAATCAAGAGGCAGGCTCTCATCAGTTTCCAGACATGTGGTTGCATTTATACAACTTACTAAAAAATTACTCACTCTGATGTGTTTGTCTCTGCATTTTCCTTTCTATTTTATTTAATTGTTTCCATTACACAGATGAAAAAAGGGGCTAAAACGCAGAAATATTTTTGCAGTCCAAGAGCCCTCTACTGCATTTCATTTGGCTCGTTTTTGACTCATGGTTTATTATAAGCTTCACCAGGGAAAAAATGGAGAGCCCTAAAAAGATGTAGAAATAATGGCAAATAGGCCGCACTTTCTAGTTAGAAGCACTTCATCTTCTGGTGATTGACACTTTTTTCCCCCAAGTCCAAATAAGGCAGCCAAACACAATCAGCTCACACATTTTCAACCACAATCTATACATTTAAAAATATGATGGCAGTTCCTACTAATTTATCTGCCATGTTAAAAAGATATATTAAAAAATTAACCCTTTAACACAAAGTGTATTATTTTTGATATGAGTTTTTAAGATCACATCATCATCAAGGAGATATTTTTGTTCTTGAAAAATAAAACTCATGCAAACAGATGTGAGAAAAGAAAATGTATAATTAATTGCACAGAAATGCCTAATGTATTAAAAATTATACAAATAACATCCCTTTTAATTCATTCAAATTTAATGTGTCTTTTAAATTTGTTATAAAGTTCAATGAACTCTCTAGTTTCGACAAATTTACATTTTCTGACTAATGTTTTATGTTTTATGCTTTAAAGGGTTAATACCATGAACAATTTGTTGATCTGTACTGACCAGAGGCTCCAATGGTTTATCTTTATGCTCTAGGTATTCCTCAGTGGATGGAATAATTTTTGAAAGAGTACATGCACAAAAATGTTAATCTGATGTATTTTAAAGATACATTTGTTCCCCATTAAGCTCTAAGTTTGCTAATCACAGAAATCTTTAACCAAAATAATGTTAATAAATTATTGAAACCTAAGCCACCCACCAATGCCATAGAGCTCAATCTCATTTGTGGCATTTATTGTCCAGCTTTAATTTCATTTTGCTTCTCATACAATAATCATCATTTTATCTAAGATGGTCAGCATCTGTTTTCCCGATAATGAAGTTTCTGTTTCCTGAGTCATAGTGTTTAGTTTTCTGCTACAGTACAGCTGGGCTCCAGTCATAGCTGTTCCGTAGGGACAACATGCTGGGCTAGGGGGAGGATTAGGTGCTGCAGGTGTCTTTGAGGAAACCGTTGGCTTGCTTTCAAGGAACAAGTGAGTCACTACATGGTCATCATACTGGACTGAGTCATGAACCTTTTGTTGAATTCTTTTTTTTTTTCAGTTTCCCAGACCCTACTTTACGCTGTCTGACTTAAAGCATTAAAATTAACCCTAAAGCTTATTTCTTAATTTGTCATATTACTCTGGCTCAACTTTTTTTCGCCAAGACTTTTTTGTACGCTGCTTTTCTCTTTTTTTTTTCTTGTTCATTTCCTCTTGGTTGTCACCCATTTGATGTTGTTATGTCCAACCATGACATGCTGCAGTGGCTGAACTGTTGCTGGACCGATGCCTTTCACAATTCTAGAGATTAGTGACAGTTTGTGAGAGCGGATTCAGAGTAGTTTCTGTGGGTACCCATTTCTTTTTCCACACAACAGTGAACATAAAGTAACATGCAGGACTGGAAAGCAGAGCTTTGAAGGCGAAAGCTCTACATGCTAGTTATAAATGCAAAATAAAAAGCAAAATAAAATGGCAATATTCTTTAAAAGCCCTTTCCCATACATGAATTAGGTTTGTTTCTTCTGTAATCTTCTAAAAAGGATCAAAGTTAATAGTTCTAATTTCAAGCCTTTAATTTCTACTTAAGTTCATGGTAAGTATAATTTGTGCCATCAGCAGTGGAAAAAAACAGTCTCCCAACATTTTCATATCAAGCATTTTGAGAGGCTCACTCTTAAAGTCTTTGGCCATCTCTCAAAATTTTATAGAATATCAATTTCCGTTAAAAGCAGTTTGTTACTCATCTGTCCTTTAAAACACTAAACTACCATGTTAAAATGTATACTAAGGAAAAATTGAGTGTTCTCTTAGTATCCACATTCACACTGAAGAGTGTTTTTTAAGTGACTTCATAGCACTTACATATGGTGTATTATCTGTTACTAAAAAAGAATTTAATGACCGCCAGGTCACATGTTATGACGGTGTTATTAAAACTAATAATAGAGGGCATAAAATAAACAAATACTTTATGCATAAATAGAACAAAAAGAAAATTTTTTCTGTGTGTTGATTGACCAACCCAATAATTTTCTGAATATTCCCAAAGTTGTTTTTTGATTCCAGCAGAACATGAAAAGCTTGAAAGCTAAACCAAGGTTTCTTTTGGGTTTTGTTTTAAGGTGACACCCACAATTTCTGTAGAAAAAAAGGCTCTATTTTCAGTCCTATATGCTCCAAACTGCTTATTTTTGCTTGAGTTTGCAATCTGATTCTCTACTTTATGATGCAGCATGCACTTTTAACAGAAGACGGGTTTGGAAGAAACATGCCTCCTGGAAGTCATATGTATTTCTTACAGAACAGCCTTCTTTTGGACTCCAGAGCACTGGAGACGGACTGTTTGGGGCGACTAACCATCCCTCTGTGTCTGACCAGCCAATCTGGCTCTGGCATTTGCAAGAAGACCATAATAGTCTGACTATATTGTTTGGTGCAGGTGGGATTATGGTTCAGGAGTTCTGCCCAGTCCTACAATTTCAGTTTAGACAATTTCATAGTCATAGTTTTTGGTAGACATTTTTTCCACTTGCACAAAGCAACCTCCAGAAAATAAATGGATACAAGCCAACACAAAGTCCTGACTTCAGCCTGGTATGACTCCTTTAGGATGAATTAGATCAAAGGGTGAAACCCAGAAAAAAATGTCCCAGTTTTCAATAAACCTTGTAGCTTGGTTGGCTCAACATCATATGGATATTTGGCCAACAAGCATAGATGTCACTCAAGTTATTATGAAGACAGATGATCAAACGACTTTGGCAACATAGTGTATGTGTTTGTGTTCATCTAAGTTTGCAGGAAGCCAATACCTCTGAGGTTTTACTATGTCTGCATTCTTAGAAAGAAACCTTAGATATTATTTAGTGTGCATAAAAAGAAACCTTGATTGCGAACATACACCCCTTATTATTCACCAAAGCTGGCTTTTGTATCTTTCGCGGCCAGAAACATTTTCCATCTTTGGCACGTAGAAAGTCTCAAACCTTTTCCTGTTAATGAAAAACGGATACATGAGCCACTTTGACACCCGGACATGTGTTTACCACACAAACATGTGTCTTTGTGCTCATCTGAGATGAGCTCATTTCCAGAAAATGCAGCAAGTTTCTCCACAAAATTCCATAAACATCTATCTACATCCTCCCTGTAGTATGTTTTGATGTTACATTTCTACGGGTTGCAGCAATTCCTGCTTTCCAGGATTGCAAATTTCTTTTTGGATAACTGGAATGGTAGTGCAAAGCTTTTACTGAACTTAGAATCACCTTTGATTTCAAGCAGGGTCTGGCATAAATAATGTTTTAGATGGAAGAGTTCAAGGTTTACCGCATTAACAATCCTTCCTGTTTCATTTTTTTCCTTCTGTTTCACAGGCTTCCGAACTGACGCCAACCTTACAGGCTGAGATGGAAGTGAAGGAAGCCATCCAGGGTGCCATCCATGGAGACAATGGCGAGGTTGTCCAGATCGTTAGCTCGGTGGCCACCTGATAGACCGTTGATACGTCGCAGACCTGAACCTTGCCATGCAGCGTGGCCCTGTGGAAAAGTCCGATAAGCCATTGAGCTAAAAAGTTACCTAAGGTCACAGATGAAATGGAGAAAGAATGATTTTTTTACTCTGTGTTTTATTTTGCAAACTACTCCTGTTTTTTGGTTTTTTAACGGCAAATGGTAAACATTGTGAGATGGTGTTTACAAGTTATCTTTTAAAAAGATGTCAACTTCCAAATTATCTGTGGTCATTCTTGCTCTTTATAACCAGAAGGACCTGAACTACTGTAGGACAACCGGAGTGTTCAGTTCGCTGTTATTCCAACAGCTTTGGAAAGATCTAATAGAAGTCAATATCTAGCTTTCCAAACCCCCCCAAATCCCACTGGAGTTTCTGTGGCCTTTCTCATCCTTACTTTCCACAGTGCACACCAATGAGAAAGTAGATTTAGATAAGGACAGCTACTCTTGTTTGTGTTGAATTAGATTGGTTGTCTATACCATAATTCAGTCCACATTAGGCCCCCCAGCTGTGAGCTGCACCGCTCTTTGTTTTGGCTGGCATTTTTCCATATCCCCTCAGCCTCAGAGTTTTGAATTACTTGTTATATTTATATAATTGTAAAGAGAAGCTATAATTTTAGAGACAACCATAAGGGGAAGACATGACAAGATGCTTGTAGACCTCCAGGGAAACCCTTAAGTTGTTTATTCCTCTCAGTTTTGTCTGTATGACAGATCCACTTTTGTGAATAAAACATGCTTGTGGCCACCATAAAAAACCTTGCTTTTATTTTGGTTTCTTTCGCTCTTTACCGTCTACATTAAAATGAATGTGCTTTCAAGGTCTTCTTTCATCCACAGAGAGAGAGACAATTGATGTCTCCCTGAGATGATAGTGTGGGTTTGAGGTTGTTGAGGTTTTATGTTGAGCTAATTGTTTCAATGTTCTGGAAATAAATAAATAAGAATCATGTTAGCTTCGCTAACCATAAGAATAGGCTACTGTCCTGTGAACATTACTGGCAAAAATGCAGCAAAATGAGCTCAGCGTAGTTTTTTTGCTTAGACTGTAATTAATTTATCTCTCATAATTGTGTATCCACTATAATTTAGCTAAATTGAACACATTTCTGCTTATTTCTTTTTTTCTTTGTATAAATACAGAGGATATGTTGTTGTAATTGAGAGATGTTCCGCTAATGATGTATATCCTTGCAGTCAGACAGTGCAGATAAGAGAGACACTCTGAGACCGTATGTGTTCCAGTGAGCATGTTTCCCATGCTCGGTGTGATGTAATGGTGTATTTTGGATTGAGGATGTGAACCAGGCAACTAAATGAACTTGATAAAACAACATCTTTGGTCTTGGCTGCTTTCTTTTGTTTCCTTTGAGTCTAGTGTAGCTGTCTCAGACTCCCTTTAAAAGCCCTCTTCACTGCATCTGTTTTGTTTTTCCTCCACTCCCACTGAACTTGTGTTTCCTCCACTCTCTCCCCTTTGGAAGTCCCGCTAAAGTCAATTTACTCCCCCTTTCAGACTGTACACAAAGCTGGGCTAATATTTCATGGGATGGCCCACGGGGTCTATTCCTTGCCATAGCTGATTTCAAATGATGTAGCCCTGCCAGAAAGCCCTCCATTAAATCTTGCTCTTGGAAGGGAAGAGACACAGTTCTTCACTTTTACAACATTTGGCCCGGTCCAGGAGCACGAGTGGTAACCATGGTAAACGTCCCTCTGCTTGGCTGGCTCTAAGACAACCTGCTGAAAGCAGGAATGAGTGATGGATGGAAAGATGAGGTAGTTTGGAAAAGAGGGAGCAGAGTGAAGGAGCGAGACTAGGCAGGTTATCGTTTCCTTCCTCATGCAACATGGAGGTACTGTTTCCTTATATGTGACTTCAGCTGCATGTCTCACCTCGCTCAAAGCTTTAACAGGGTTGGTGAGGTTACCACACTATGTGAAAACATGAATGACTGTATCTATTGGATTAATAACAAACATATAAATGCAATGTTTCTTTCCCAATTAAACATAGTAAACATAATAATAAAAAATGTTAGAATATGCAAACAACCTTTATCAGACCCACTGATAAACATCAGTTAAACAACATATTCAATACATGATAAATATTAATTTATATGCAATTTGAAAAGATCTTACAGTGAGTAATAAAATATAATAGAATATAAAATCCTTTTATTGTCCCACAATGGGGAAATTCTGTTTACAGCAGCAAAAAGATAATAGAAAAAAATGGTCATGCAAATGTGGACCTTAGAAATATGTATAAGAATAACATAATAGTGAGGAGTTAAAAAAATGAGCAATAAAATACTGTACGGTAAAATCTTTTAGCAATATAAAATTTTGCACCTAGAGAAAAAATAACCAATATACAGCTATGAACCTGTTTGCAATAATGGATATTGTAAAATGACAGCAGAATGTTATTTAACGGACTAAGGTAGAAACTGTGCAAAATCAGCATGAATGTAACAACTTATTGAGGTTGTTGGGAACAGTGGTGGTTATAGAGTCTTACAGCTGCTGGGAGGAAGGATCTGTGATCACTTTACCTGGTGCATTTAAGGTGCAGCAGTCTGTCGCTGAAGGAGATCTCCACCTTTGCAACAGCTTCATGCATGGGGTAGGAGACATTATCCTACAGAGATGTTAATTTAGTTAGGATCCTTTTGTTTCCCACCTCCTGCACTGAGTCCAGAGGGCATCCAATCACAGAACTGGCCTTCCTGATCAGCTAAAAGAAAATGCTTCAATAGAAGCTGCTTATATGAAATGTATTTGGATAAATAGTTGGATTTATAAAGCAGGAGAGTGGCAAGAAATCCTAATATCCTGCAAAGGTGAGCAGAGAGGAAGGTTGGATAGAGATGAACCTGTGAAGGTTGTTGACCTGTTCCACTAAATTTGTGCAAATGAGCTGGTGTTAAGGTTTATGGCTGCTTTAGGTACCACTGGTCATGGTGAGACGCAGCAGCAGTGTGTGAGGTAATGCATTTCTAGGGCTTTTTAAAAGTTTTCTTAACTTTCTCCAACTGTGAAGATAATCACAGCAAGGATTTACCCTTGATCGGGGGGTATGCTTCTCCTGATGTGTTTATGTCATGTTTTACTTGTGAACACCTCATACACAAACCTCTTTAACATCCATGAAGAGGAGTACTGTTGCTAGCAGTATGATTGCAAACATTTTCACTGTTTCAAAAAGGGGCAAAAAGGTTATTTTATTCTGATAGAATAATGCAAAAATAAAAAAGAAAACTACAAAGTTTTTCTATTTTTTTCTTCTATGACGTGATTTAAGCAGTCCTCATACATCTTTTTTATTCTTCATTAAATCATTCTCACCTCTATGCCCCCCATAACAAAACTCCCCACAGCATAAACCAAATAAAAGGGTGTTGTTGAGTCACTCCTGACAGGTTAAATCTTTGTGTTTTTCTTTCAATTATTTGTTGAAGCTACACATACTTTACTTTTTAGTAGGTTTATCTGTTGCTGTCAGCCTTCGGAATGCTGGCAGACCCAACACTAACTGCAGCTATCCTTTCACAACAGAAAGGAGTCAAGTTCCTGTCTGATACAGCTGTGCTCTCAGATCCAAACACTAGTCAAAAGATGAGCATCAGGTGATGGTACTACCTGAATGTTTCATTGCAAATCTCTAGTTGGAGCAACAATATAATTTAGAAGTATAGAACGAGACACTGTGGTTGTTTAGAGATGGATAGAAAAATACAGCCAGATAACTTTGCAAAAAAAAACAAAAAGCAAAAAAAAGATGGATAGACTTATTGTTTAAACAAGGCCAAAGAGATTTCGGAGAAAACAATGGGATAATAAACACTGGTGTGAAAGAACATAACAGTACTGGTGGGTAACAAAAAGACAAAATACGTGAAAAAATGAAATAGTTGGATTACTGTTATTTTTATAATTCATTTAGCAGAGTACTCTACACAGTAATTCAAAATACTTTAAGTATTTTAGACTAACCCAGAGGTAAAGTGATACTAATGGAATGAAGATGATCGAGGATTTTACAACAAATGGTGTTGAATGAGGGATTTAGATTCATTACCATGAAGTTTGGTTACTTTGACTAGACCTCTTTTAACTCTGTAGAGGAGGTTAAAACAAAATTAAATCAATCTGTTTAGCTAGCTGTAAACATATACACATTGTTTTGTTTTGCTTGATTGCAGCTAGTGCAAAATTCTGCTGCAAGGATTTTGACAAGTACAACCAGAAGAGCTTACGTAACTCCAGTCCTCCAAGCTCTACACTGGCTTCTGATTGAATACCGCATAAGCTTTAAAATTCTGGTCCTGACCTTAAGAGCCCTGCATAGGCAGGCTCCTTTTTACATCTGGAACTTGATTCAGCCTCACTTCTCTGTTTGCAGTCTGAGATCTGCTGAAAAAAGCTTGTTAATGGTCCCTCGAACCCGTTTTAGGATGAGAGGTGATAGGTCCTTCCAAGCTGTCAAACCCAGACTGTAGAAGGCAAGACAAGGCAAATTTATTTGTATAGCACAATTCAGTTCAAAGACAATGCAAAGTGCTTTACATGATTAAAATATAGGACAATAAAACAGAATCAATGCAAGTAGGAAAAAAATAAAATAAAATAAAAAATGCAGAAACAAAAAGAATATTAAAACCAGTTGGACTAAAGAAAATAAAAAAGTTGAACTAATGGAATGCACTCCCACTTTACCGGCACTCGGGGAACTCCATGGATGATATGAAAAAAACATCTAAAATCATTTTTTAACCAAGCATTTTAGACCGTTTTATCAAGGGCTGCTATGATTGTATTTATCTTGTCTATCTGGTGCTGCTTTGTATTTTATGCCCCATATTGTACAGCACTCTGTGACACTTGTCTGATAAATGATCTATATAAATAAACCTCACTTACTTACTTACTTGTATAGCAACTAGGTAGAAATTAAGAAAATCTGGAGATTGGCCTCAATTAATTAGATGATTCAAGTTCAAAAGAAATTTATCAGGAGCTTTGATGAAGAAAGGCTAATTTATAAAGTGAACTCAGCTGGAAAATGTATTTTTTTGGGTGAAAACAGATATTTGTGATGTAACTAATTGTCTCATCACATACAGATGTTAGATATTGTCATACAGTCATCTTATCTGTTGTTTACCAGCTTGAACAATAATTATTGAAGTTATTCGTGGTAATAGGCCCTAACCCAAATTAGCTGCTAAACTCAGAGATAAATGAAACAGTTTAAATCTCTGTGCAACCGAGTTGGAATTTTTGATTTAGGTTCCAAGTAATGTTAACAATTTGTACATGTTTCTTGTGATTGGAAGTGATGTGAATATATTAGAGTGATATATTGTCCCAACATGAATGTGGTATTCAATCTATGGTGGGAACTGAATATTCAGGCGTTGACCAACTCAAAGATTGGAACTACGGTAATTACTGAGAATGAATCAGACATAGAAGAGGAAGTAAGCAACTGGTTGGTAATTAGTAAAAGGTTTGAATGATATAAACCCAAAAAGATTGTTCCACTAGGGGTTGACAAGAAGAGACAATATATACTCATGTTATGTTGTTTGATTACCTTTAGATACTACTGTGTTTTTTCCTTTTACAGAGTTCTAAGAAAAAAAAAAACAGCTTCAAATACAGATCTACCAGGTTTAGACATAATTATGTGCCTAAATCTAGCTGCCTATTTTTAGAAAAAGATAAACTAAAGAAAACCATTTATAATTTTGATTCTATTTACTATGATGTACTGAATTAATACAAGTCCATTTTCCTGTTTTTGTCATATTTATTTTAATGTTGTGATAATCCTATTCTTTGATTTGATTTAAACTGTGATCCATGTTTACACCTCCACTGTGTTTGGTAGATTTAAAGCCAAACATTTTAAGAACCATCATTAAATGCATCCCACAAAACCTCCTGTACAACAAGGGGTCTCAAACATGTCAGCCTCTGACCCACAAACCAAAGGAGACTCATGATCAAAGCTAAAGGCTAACTAAAATACAAACACGAACAAAATCAATTCATCAAAACAAAATACCTGTATTGCATTTAGACAACCTCTACGTTTGTTTAGCTCTTTAAATGTTATAGCATGAATATGGTTTACAGTTAGTGTTTTAATTGTTTATTTTTATTTCTGTAAAAATTGCAAGACCCTGTAGACCACCTGTTGATCACTGATCTCAGTTATCTGACCCCAACATAAGGAAATCATTGTTGCACAGCATAACCCGGACAAATCCTATATTATATTTATGACAATAAAGATTATATAAAGCAT